ACACATATATATATATATATATATATATATATATATATATATATTTAAAGTAGACTCACTACTTATTTGGCTGCCTGAATAGATTTAAAAGTAGGGAGCAAAAGATGGCGTGGGTCAAAGGTTAAGCATGAAGAATCAGCGAGTACCAAACATGTGTTGCATCGTTGCAAATCATGGATTCAAAAACACCGACAATCAGGACAAGCCAACAAATCGCCACTTACATCCTCACGCTTTCGAAGACCTTTCATTCCTTTGTCGTGAACAATTTGTTGGCTTATCTGAATTTCATTGTCTTCGTAGATTCAAAAAATCCGATTGTTTCTCAGAACCAATGTGTTTCTTTTAATAAAACCTTTGTGCTAATGAAAATTAAATATGCTACTAAAAATTTGCTAATGAAGACCCGCTGACCATAGGAAAAACGAATATATTTTCGGGAAAAAAATATGAATACATCACGAGAAATACAATACGAAAAAACTAATACCCTGAACAATATTGTACTTCCATCCTGGAAAATCTCCCTAACTAATACTCCACCACTCGATTTATAGCTTTTTCTGTTCCCACTGAGAATGATCAGTTGCAACAATTCATTACAAAGACATCTATTAAACTGTAGAAGAATCATCAAAATGATTTATTTGAATTGTAAAGAAATAAAAAGATAACAGTGACCTAGTAACTTCAACAACTCAGTGAATCTGTTCAAAAATTCTTAATCAGTAATGCTGTTCACAACTTGTGTTTCATGTGGGCATTCTTTTTGTATTCACTTTCCTGTCCTTGTAAAGTGGATATCAACCATTTCGTCTTTTCCTTCCGAACCTTATCATTTTCCAACATTTCCCGCCGTTTTTCTCTGGAAAATTAATTCAGATTGTGGTGAGATTTGCATTTTTTGTATTTCAGATATAAGCCAAAAAAGAATAACATAGATCAAATTTGAAACATTAAACATTAAACACATCAATATTAAAAACACATAACCATATATACCTATTTAAAAATTGATTGTCACGACGCAGTTCTCGAACTGTTCCGCGTAATTCTTTCTTGTACTTTTTAGTGAGTTGTTTGATTTCAACTTTTTCCGATTTCTTCGCGATCTTTTTTTCGCACTGTGCCTTTTTTATATCACGGTTTTCATCAAAACGTGGTTCCAACAGATTCAGCATTCTGAATTAAGGCATAATGATGCCAATAACTGATGAATGATCAGGTGATTGAGCAGTAATAAAACGACATAGACAGTGAGCAGATTTCCTGAGAAGAAACTGACTTTTTCTGTTTCATTGGCCGTTGGAGTTGTTTCAGTAAATTTCTTGAGGACTGAGCGGTGATAAATGATTCCAGAGCAGATAATTCCGTCAGCAACTGAGCCGGAAATAGATTACGCGGTAATCGCGACAGCAAGCCTAGCAATGGCCTGAAAATTCGATTCGCAAATATTCTAATTCCAGAATTTCCCCAATCAATTAATTTAAAAACACATAACTCATTTATTTACCATTTATACAAAAATATGAAAACTGAAACACCTGAAGATTATAGAGAAGCTGATAATATTGGAATAAATAAAGCTAAACCGACATAAAACGGTGAAAGCAATATTTAGAACACATAATCGATTCTTGTTGCTTTCTTCAAAGCTGAAAAATTTATTTGGAAAGGTTTGAAGAAAGAAACTGACTAAAAAACTGGATCCTCAATTTTTGACATTTAAAAAAAATTCACGATATATTTTCATTTTCACAATCAATTTAGTACAACTTTCTACCGACAACTCAAAGAACCAGTAAGTTAAAGTAAATGGTTTTACAATATTTTTATCAGAGGACTGATATGTGTCCAGCACGCAGCAATATCACTTAGGAGATGAATTTCATTAAATAACTGAAGTTTTATATAACAAGGAATAACAACCATCTAAAATAATAAACCACTACAACATTCTCCCGAATTTGCTCTTCTTCCTCAAGTTTTCATGTGACTAAGAATGTTACTTTTTGTTCGTTGCAAACCCAACTCCTGTGCCCACTATTGTTTTCAAAAAACTAACAACTTACCTATCTATATCATCAGCGAAAACTTGCGTTACATCTAGCTGGGAAGGTATTTCAATCGTTGAACACTGAAAATAATTGGTACTTAATTACAGACCAGTCCTTAAGTTCAAGACGGAAATATTAGAAGAAAACTGATTTGTTTCATTTAGAAAATTTATTAAATGGAGTAATAATTAAAATTAATCCCAGGATAAGCTAACATCGTCAGTAACAAAAAGCATCCTGCGATGTGGCAATGATATGGGAAAGGTTGCCATTGGACAACGTTCATCATCTCTGCTTTCAACTGCCATTAAAAAAATGCCATGAAGAAAAGCGATAACCTCCGGTAGATACCTGAAAATTATATTCACTGCATTACTTCTATAAAAAATAATAATTTTAATAATATAAAATTTAAGAAGCCATTGGGAATATGCAAATTCCTACTCAAATTCATTTCGCAAAGTTTGTTTGCTAGTACTTCTAAAATTAACACTGAGGAAAATTTTTACCTCTTACTTTCTTCGACAAATGAACTGAGCATTCTAACCATTAATAACATGCGTGTAATGTCTTTTATAGCACACATTCGTGCAGCTGAGATAAGACGGCATGCAAATGCAAGTGTTGGACTGACAACGGGATGAAACGCGTCACGCATTGGATACAAAGTTGAAACCAATTTCAGAAATGCAATAAAGCGAAAGGTAAACATTTCACGTGGAGCACTTGCATGTAGTGCATACTGTTGGCGTAGGAGAGCACGCATGCAACGTGCACTGTGCTCAATGTTGAACTAAAACAGAAAAGTGAAAAGAACAGGAACTCTTTCGTTACGGAAAAGTAGAATTTCAATAATCCAAATAAGTTCAACAAAGTAGGTTGGAAAAACTGAAGATTTCTTAAATAATATCTTAGAAACTTGCCTTCATCAAACAATATAATCCTCGTGATATATAACCAATCAAAGTTATTTTTACTACTCGTTCCTTGGATAAGTCATCGTAATACCTAAAAAACAAAGCTGGAGCTGTGAAATTTTATTGAAAGAATTTCTAATATTCAACACGAGCGAAAGTAACATCGGTAGCAAGAAATCACGAGATCAAGTGACTTAATCTTCTTTTTACTTTATTTTCGAGATGTATTTCACTAACCTCGCTATACCTACTTTATATCTGAGGAAAACAGAAAAAGGTAATTAAAATACCTGAGAAGAAGTGTAAATAACCGGCCAAGTTGTGATTTATTCCCTTCACGAAGACTTGGATGATACAGTTTTATTAGTCTTTTAATGATTACTTCACAGTTTGCATCATTCTCAGCATCCAGTAATTTTTTCAGACTTTCATATTTCTGAGGCAAATCAATCACAAAAGGTAATTCCCCATTTTCTGATCCTTTCCGAACTGCAACCAACGCTAATTTCGCAACTTATTGGAAATATGTATGTATGTAAATTGTAAATTAAAGTGCAGTTTTAAAAATCAGATACGCGTATACCTCTCATCAGAATTATAATCAACCTGATTTCCCTTCAAATTTCAACGCCGATGTTTTGGAAATCATCTGGTCTCAAGCGGTCCAATCATTTTTGATGTCCCAATACTTTTTTATACTTTGTTTTACCAATTCATCATACGGTCATATCACAATATTTTTTACTATCTACCGCGAAATCTCATATTCATGGTAGAACGGTATGATAACGAATGGCAGAAACATTGTACTAAATGTTCGCTAGCTAACTGTTTTCGAAAATTAATTGAACGAAATATCTGCAATCGTTCTAAATCTTAAATTGATAAGAAATAACAAACTTTTCGTTTCTGCATTTGCAGCAATGTTTTTTAAGCTAGATGGCGGTAAATTGATTTGTTCATCACCATTCACCAATGCATCAAAATCATCCTCTTCTTCGTTCTCATCCACTTCGTCGCTTTCGAATTCATATCCCTCATCCGATGATTCAGTACGAACTATTTTTATTCGTCCTTTTTTAAGCTAGAAGTGCAGCAAAATTTTTGGAATCAGAAAATCAAAGGATTACGAACAACATATTCCATGAATGATTACAGCACAGATCATTCCCCAAAACAACCGGAAGGGGCTTCTCGAAAAAAAAAAAACGCTGCACTTGCAGCAAATTACACGCAGTACAAATTTCAAACAGTGCAATCGCACCTTTTCTGCATTCATAAGCACACCTGAGCCATCGTATTTCACCACAAAATCTTCTTTATTACCAACAGTTCCTGATTTCTTTTTTGCTTCTCTGATATCGTCCTAGAAAATCTGTTATAAAATGTGTCATTCAATAGCAGAATGACGAAAAAAATCAAATTATTAAGTATATCAAAGAAACAAAATAATTACAATTCTTGGAAACAATGGAAAACCTTATCAAACCTTATCTATCCGGGCAAGACGAGCTTTTTCTTGTCTAACTAGCTTCTCACGCTCCTCGTATGCTATTTCTTCTTTTGTTTTCTGCCGTTCACTTGCTTCTCCTCTTTTTCCACTATCCATTTGAAGCTCATAGAACTGAAAAGCTCATACTGAAATCAAGCTTTTATTAAAAAAGTATGGAACCTTGAAAAGCGTACGGTGAAAAAAAGCAACAAATGAAATATAGTGACAATAACCAGCTTTTTTAAAGGTGTCTTTGGCAATTTTTTTGAACAAAGAGAATTAAATAATCAAAATCTGCAGGAAAAATAGGTACTCAGATTTGAAATATGAACTTACCAAATGGTCATAATCGTCTTTCTCAGGTCCACCCATACTTGATTTGTCTTTCACAGGCCTTACAAAAGTGGAAATAGCGTCTGTTTGCTGAATTTCATTCCACTTTTTATCTAATCTTTCTGTTGCATCTTCACGTTCATCACGAGCTAACTTTTTGTCGTAACGCTGTTGTTTTGTTTTTGCTATCAGTTCAGTAATAAAGTTTCGCCTGCTTATGACAAATACACCGTTAATTGGTCCAAAATAACATAATAAATTTTGAAAAACTTATCCCATTTAATAAAGATTTTAACAAAAAAAAGGAAAGAATAGATTGAACAGCTCTTCTCTTTATCAAATTTAATAGTGAAAAAAATGCAAAATACATGCCAGTTAAAACAAGAAGCAAAACACCTCCACCCTTTCTAATATCAAGCTTCCTCCTTAAAGAGGGATGGACGTGAATGTTTCGAAATGAATTAAAGAGAATATTAGATTTTCACGTGTAACATTTAAAAAAGAAGAAAAAAGGTTCTCTATTACTTATATTTTTGGATTTTCTAAATACAGTTCAAATTAGACTAACCTTTTGCTGGCTGTATCTTCCGTGAATGCTGCAACTCCACCACCAAAATGAATTGCAGCCACAGTACTCGCACCAATACTTCCTCCTCCTCTCGCTTCATCATCATCATCTTCATCGCTTAACATCGATCGATCATACTTCTCCACTTTGGCTAATTCTCGTCCCCTATGAGTCAATTTTTCTTCTGGAAAATTACGATTTGTTGCACGTGCTACAAATAAAAAAAAGATAAAAACCAAATGCAATAAACTGGTTAAATAGCTCATCAATCAGATCAGAAAAGGGCTTGAGCTAACCTGCTCATATATACGGATATTTGAAACAAATGAATCACCATCTTTTCTCATACAATATTTTGAACTAATAAAAAGTATTCCAATGTAGAAATGATGCCTGATATTTTGTCAAAGCTCATAGTTTTAAAACAATCTCTACCATTTGTTAGTTCTGAATTGGTTGCTTCGAAAATTTTTAAACGTTCTGCAGTGAATCGCTTCGAAATACATTCTTCATTATCCATCATGCTATTAGCTTCACCGATGCGCTGATCAATAATCTAAAAATGATACTTATAAAACATCCAAAACGCAAGGAAAAACAAATTCATCCTGCAGTTAATAATGAACTAGTAAACAGAAAAAGACCGTACCTTATTACGCTTCCCACGTTCCTTCCATTCCACAGCCAATGTCCTAGTCCTATTTTCAAAGGCCTTTTTCTTTGATAGCCCTGGTGCACCACACGCAGCTGATACTGCTTTTGTCCCGAGTATCTACAATATGCTCAGAACGAAATTTAAAGCACGAGACAAATCTATCTGGAAAGGAACTTGGCTTACACCCAAGAATCAAATTTGAATCTTTGAAACTATTAAATGCACTATTCTGATAAAATGTACCCTGTGCTTTGAACGATTGTATTTCAGTTCGAATGGATTCAGTTTCGCTGACTGAACAGTCGGCTTCTTCACTTTCCCATTAATTTTTTCATTATGCTGAAAACATATGTTCCATTTATAAAAAACCTATGAGGGTGTACACAACCAAACGCTATAATTATAAATGGTTTATCAATTTTCAGATGAAGAATTACGAATTAATACTACCAGTTGTTCTGTTTAAATATACGTTAAAAAGGTGATCGATATGAGGCTTATGTTAATTTGTGGACGTGTAGATAAATTATACATGATTTTACAAATAAATACAAATTCAATCCAATACACATCTTCTAGACAAATTTATTTAACACCGGATTTACAACCAGGGCAAATTTGCAATGACTCATGCAATAAAACATCACAGTCTATACAGAACGTCGATTTGCAATTCTTACAAACGAAACTTTTATCATCAAGTTGTCGGATACAAGCAAAACAGACCCTGAAAAAAACAGATCAGCATACGGGACACCTGACGTAAGTATGCACTGATGACCTCATACAGAAGTATTATGCCGAGAGCAAACCGCCCCAACTGTTTGCAACTTTTGCACGCAACGTGGCTACACATTGGTTCTATATTTCAAGGTTTTTGACCCAAAGAATGATAAAATTACCTTTCCGTTGTGTCGATTTCTTCAAAAGCTGGTAGTGGCAATAAATTATGCAAAGAACGCGCAAGTTGAGGTGCTGAGATTAAAGTTAATTTGCAGATTCGACACTCAACTGGTAAACTGCAATAACGTGCTCCGCACTGTGGACAGAAAAAACCTCTTCCACCCGATGGCCGAATCTCTGACTGATGGCTGAAATTAACCAAGTTTATTTTTGAAAATGGGAACTCTTATATGAAGACATATTGAGAGCAAACTCACCATAAACAAAATGAAGGGGAATCTATGCTTTCGTGGGCTGGAAAACCCATTCGAACAACGCTGCTTTCCGCATTTCGACTAGATATAGGAGGATTCGCATGCTCATTCAAAATCACCTCGAAATGAGTACTATCCAGTATTACGTTGTGACATCCTTAAATTACGAAAACTTTGAACGATTTCACTGAAACAAAATCTGGAAAAAGAGGATTTTAGGGGGTGAAAACACTCACCTGATGTAGCAGAACAAAGTTTCCTGAAGATGAAAACTTCCGCACTGAGGGAAATCACTGAACAACGTATGTGATACCTTTTCAGTAACTGAAATGAACATTTAAAATAATCGCGATGTAAGGTAACTTAACAGCAAAAGGTCTTACTCAAGCCCAATTTAGCAAAGAAACAAAAAAAAGTTAGAAGAAACCTCAAATGTGCCAAAAATATTTGAAGGATCACATGTTGAAAGACTTGCCACGATCAATATTACCTCTCGACTAGCGTAACCCGGATAACTACTGAAATTTAGGAATTTATGCACTCTGCTCATACAATATGCATTAAATTCAAAGACTTGTTGACTAGTCACCAAATCCGAGAACTGGGTTCTTTATCACTGGTGCTTAATTGTGTCATATCTAAAGTTGGTGTATTTCCCACATATCAATGAATAATACGTATATTAAATTTACTAGAACATTTTTTTTAGTCATGCATGTATTTCACATCACAACCTTATTAGTTAAATGCAAATTACATACCCAACTTTCATCATATATTAGTGAATGGATTTGAAATTTCTGCAATTATTAAAAAATTTCTAAAAAAACTGCAGAATTCTAATAGTGGCCTTACTGTAGACTTTTAATAGCGGCCATCAAACTGTTATGCAATGAAAACTCCCCATGGCACAACACTTCCGTTATCGTCGATAAGGATTCCTTCACTAAGCGAACATTACCTGGAACAAATCGACAATTAACAATTTAATCAACTTGTGCTCAGATTTAGCTTACTTACTGAAACGTTATAAATTTTAATATTACAGTATTAGCATACTGCAATATTATCAACGGACACCCTCTGTCACGAGAGAGAAGCCTGCGTGCCCTTATGAGGTTGTGAGCTATGTTGGCAGTGGCAAATGTCTCTGGTGGGACCTCCCATGCCAGACAATTTTCAACCGAAGAGTTAGATAGTGTATCCACGGGGAGGATGGGAAAGCTAGCTCCCGCAACAACCCTAGAAGAAGGTTAACTTTGATCCCAAACCCAAGCAGATGCAGCTCATTTAATCCTACAAAGTCATCCATCTCAGAGTAGGATAGTCTAACTAAACCTACTTCCTAAGGTCCTAACTTACATACCCAACTTTCATCATATATTAGTGAATGCATTTGAAATTTCTGCAACTATTAAAAAATTCCTAAAAAACTGCAGAATTCTAATAGTGGCCTTACTGTAGACTTCTAATAGTGGCCATCAAACTGTTATGCGCTGCGCTGAAGGACTTCGCTGTTACCATCCAAGCTTTCTAGGACCTGACAGATAAACCTTAGGAGGGAAGGGTGAAGCCAGCTCCGCGCACGCTGTGCCTCACCTAAAAAATCCTCAGCGCAGTCTTGACGGATATAAATACTTTTGTAAAGTCCTGTAGCGACAGACGAGGGACGAAACGCCAAGTGATAAAATATAGCTGCAGAGTTACGCCGCATGCAGGCGGTTCAGGACACTGGTCGCTCAAGACTGACTCCGAAGATGATAGTCTTGATCGGTACTTCTGAATAATCCAACAGCCTTTTTCAAGGACACGTGCTGTTTGCTTCATACGGAAAGGTGTTAAAAAAGATGGCCTAACCCAAGCTCATCTCCATCCTTTATTCGGTTGGCTAACCGCGGCCAACGGGTATCTTCTGATGCGCACAGATGACAAAAACACAAAGGGAGACACTGCCTCCAAAGGCGCGTTCAGACTGACAATCACATGTTGGAACAACAGAACCATGTTTGGTAGAATTATTCCACTCTGATTATTCATTAATTATAACGATTCAACATCGACATTGCTGCTCTCAATGAAGTTCGTCTCCATGAGGACATAAACTAAAAGAACATAATGCCGGCTACACAATCTACTGGTCAGGCAAACCCAAAGCCGACAGAAGTTGGCTTTATAGTTGAAAACTCCACCGCTTCCATACTTGAAAATTTGCCAACAGTTCATTCCATCACATTATGTCCTTACATCTTCCACTACGTAATAAAGAAGTTGCTGCTTGTTGTATGCCCCAACTCTGCAAGCTGACCCTGGGAAAAAGACAAATTCTACACCGACCTGCGTCATCTCATCCAAAAAGTTTCTGCAGATGATAAGGTCATAATCTGATGACCAGAAATGCATGGGCAGTATGGGCGTTAGCTTTCGGCAACCATCCTAGGAGAACAGCTTTGATCCGAGGCAGATGGAGTTCGTTTAGTCTTGTAAGAATCCGTCTTGTATAAGTTGCAAAACTCCATCTAGAAAAGGATATCCTAACCAAACCTACATCCTGCGTACTTCGCTGCACTATCCAAGCTCACTAGACCTAGCAGATGAACATAATCCTCGATGGTTTTGACGCCAGAATTGGAAAGAACTCCGAATTTGGAAAGGATAGTAGGCAAGCTTGGTACTGGAAACCGCAACAACAACGGACGGCCCCTGTTAGCTTTGTGCAGAGCAGCAACTCACCATAACAAACGCTATCGTTTAGCAAAAAGAGAGCTTAAAGATAACCTGGATACATCCTCGACCCAAGCACTGGCACTTCATCGAATATGTTTTACTGTGCTAGAGAAACGTTCACGATGTTCGTCATACTTGTATGATGTCTAGTGTAGAATGTCAAACAGAATACCGTCTTAAATGCAAACTTGACCTCCGCTTTAAACCAAAACCTGAGAGAGGGATGAAATCCCAATGAGGAGACTCAACCACGTAAACTTTCAAGGTAGACTTGAAAACTACCCAGTAGATCCCTCTCTTGAAGCATTTTGGTAACATATTAAAAAGAGAATCCTAAAGTCTTCCGTGGAACTCACAGAATTCTTTTCCAAGATAACAAAGACTGATTTGATGAAAACAATCAAGAGATCCAAAAATTATTGACAAAGAAGAGAACCACTCACTAAGCATATCCCACTCGGTCATCTTGCCCTGTAAGAGAACCAGCCTTTCCCCTTCCGCCTTGTAAGCAATAACCTTCAGCAGAAACTTCGAGACATCCAGAACAAGTGGTGGGTCAACCTAGCAAAAAACATCCAGCTATGTGCAGATTAGGTGATTAAAGAATTCTATGAGGCTCTGAAAGCAGTATACGAGCCTACACAGCATGTTCGAAGATCCCTAATCAGCGCAAATGGCCAAATGCTCACGGACAAAATCTCAATTCTGAATCGATGTATGAACATTTTCAGACTTTCTACAGTGCTAATCATATAGTCCAAGGCTCAGCAATTCAGCACATTACATAACAGCAGGTTAAAAACGAATTGGATATAGCCCCACTACGGCAGGGACGTTTAAGGCTATACAGCAGGTGAAGACTGGCAAAACAGCTAGGGTTGATAGTATCCCACCTAAGGTTTGGCAGCGTGGAGGTCAAACACTTCATGCCAAGTTTCACAAGCTTATTGTGCGATGTTAAAAAAAAGGCAAACTACCACCAGATCTCCATAATGCAATAATTATCACCCCGTATACATCAGAAAGGAGTATAATCAAACTGCTCGAATCACCAAGGCATCATCTGCTCTCTATTGCTGGCAAAATCCTTGCAAGTATACTTCCGAACAGATCGATACCCGCTTTATCAGAAAAAGTTCTACCTGAGAGCTAATGTGGCTTCAGAGCAAATAGGAGTATCACTGATATGGTATTTGTCCTCCGAGAACTACAAGAGGAATGCAAAGAACAAAACAAAGATCTTTATATAACTTTTGTAGACCTCACCAAAGTCTTTGAAACTGTAAATAGAAAAGTCCTATGGCAGATCTTGGAACATTAAGGTGTCCTCCAAAGTTCCTAAAATGATCATACTATTATATGCGAATCAACCGGGTAAAGTCTAGATATAACGATGCACTCTCACAGCCTTTCCTAATAATTAATAGGATAAAGTAAGGCTACGTTCTTGCATCAATTCTCTTCACAATCTACTTCAGCATGATGCTCCAAAAGACTACGGTAAAGAAAATGGCATTTACATTCGATATCGTACGTCGATGGAAGCCAATTCAACCTAGGATCACTGAAGACCAATAGCAAGATGTTAAATTACCACATTCGAGAGTTACTGTTTGCCGGTGATGAGGCCCTCGTCGACCACACAGAAGCAACTCTGCAGCGCTTAATATCTTGCTTTGCAGAAATTTTTGGATTAAAGCTCAGCTTAAAAACAGAAGTTTTCCATAAAAGATTTGCTGCGGTAAGTGTCTGAAGATAAGTACAAAGGCTAGTGTCCATAAAGTCTCTGTACTGTCTATATGGATTTTACATGGATCTGAATTTTGGGTAATCTACTGTCATCACCTGCGACTCCTCGGAAACTTCCACCAGCGCTCCCTCCGTATACTCCCAAATATCCATTGTCTAACCACGTGTTTAATGTTACTGTTCTTGAACGGGATGAGGTCATCAATATTGAGGCCATGCTATTGAGTATGCAGCAACATTGGGCTGGGCGAGTCTTTAGGATCAATGATCACCGCCTTCCTAAGATTCTGCTCTTTGGTGAACTCGCAACCGGTTTCTTCAAAAACCCCAAAGAGGAGAAACGAGAACTCCCTGAAATAATAAGTCAGCCTTAACCATACAGACTACCATTAATGGTCCATTCTGTCCTCAGATCGGTAGACGAGGAGACACACCCACAACGCTACTGCTTCCTTTGAGAATACACGCAGAATTAGGTTCAAGGAGAAAAGATAAAGCAAAAAACAAAACCGTACCTCACCAATACCGCTTAACAGGGATTTCCACTGTGCCCTTTACAACTGTACTTCCCTATCCCGCAGTGGCGTTTTTACCATCACCGCACTTGCAACAAGCAAATATATAGCCCTTCTCATATCTTCATTCATGAAGTCTAGCCACGATGACTACATACAGAAATAATGTATTGTGAAAAAGTATTGAAATGATTTCTGCTCATGATTATGCTTCAAATCAATCATTACAATTTAATCTTTTCTTATGTATGCATGATGGAATTGAAAAATAGTCAACGAAAAATCCGCTAAATGTAAACAATTAACTAACCAGTAAGAGGAATCAGGCATTCGGCTCGTTTATCTTTGCAAACTACAATACCCACTTGCGAAATAGGGTTTTGCTCTGAAAACTTGTCGAGAAACTGGTTTAAAGCCTGGAAATCAAATTTAACTATAATTTAAACCGTTGTTCGTAATATAAGCCGTTCGTGTTAATTTCATAAACCTCAAATTCTTTGATTTGAAACAAAGTAAGAAGGCCGTTCAATTTCAATATGCAGTTGATTTCAATATCTCGAATTTCTCAATAAGTTTTGATAGATACTTGACTGAAAAAAACAACCGAGAAAAAAGTTGTTATGAAAACTACCTTAATCGTAACAGCAAGACGTGAAGGTGGTATTGATTTATCAGCCATTGAAAATGAACAATCAATGACTAGATACAAATAACGCATCTATAAGATTACATATTTCATCGAAATTTCAGATATTCGTGAAGTCCAGAATTTAAAAAAGGAATATAACAGAAATAAATTACTTACAATTCCCAAGCGGACTTTAGCCGGCCGATTATTAAGACGTTTTTTCCGTTTTGTATCAAGTATCAGCTTAGCCACTGATTTCTCAATTGAACCACTTTCATCTTCATGCAGTACATCCCGGATATTCAACCCTGAAACCTACATATGTTAGAATATTGGCTAGTATTTAGTAGCCGGTCATCCTTGAAATCCCGAACTGTTAACTATCAAGTCCATTCTTTCTAAGGAAAAAAAAAACTTCTATAAGATATAATGTGAAATACATCTATGTTAGCTTAGTTAAATAAACAAAGTAATGATCATACCGTCCGCATAATCCACTTCCCATGTATAACCTTCCGGTTCGTCATCATCGTTCATTGTAAATTGTATTTTTCTTAATTAATTAAAATATGGTCCTGAAAACTATCTGCCTTTTAGGAATTTATCGTAAACAGTAGAAGCCAAGCAAACACGGAAACTGACCGGATCAAACCTTATCGGATACAATGCGTAACGAAACAAAAAACCCGAACGATAACACATGTCCAAAGCTTCCAAAACCGGTTTAAGAACAGAGTTAACTATGAAATCCGTTAAATCTTAACATTCCTTGGTCACGCTATACACACCACACCACCTGATTGGTGTATATTGCCTGCATTTCGCATAGGACGACACTATGTAGTTCGTTTCCAATTTTCCAATTTTGCGTTAGAGTACTGTGAAAAGATACCTCACACTACATGAGAACCGTAACGCATTAGTTGAATGACGAGATTGAATGCTGCACGATCCTTCTAGCATTTCGAAAGGTGATGCTTATCACGTTAGCATTTTACAGAGGTTGTTTCCGTTACAGTTCGTAATGCTACCATTTTCCCATTACAAGAGATCAGCTACCACTCGTAATGCCTAAGATATGACGTAAGTTTAGGAAATGAAATAAATACAAGTCGATCATTTTGTATCATGAAGCCATCAGTAGAAGCGAAGACTTAAAAATGGATTTCTATCAACGTCCAGGAATGAATTGAGAAAATTTCATCGGAGAAGAGACTGCTGGACAGAGAAAATTGTTAATCACACATAGTTTATCAATTACTGTATACATACAGACAGTTTACTTGGACAGCATTATACATTTCAAAAATGTTGAAAGAAGAAATATTTTGGAGAAAATTGCTTCATCCTGCATCATTTTTTAGATTTAAAAAAATCCCTTCTTCCTGAACTTAATTTGTGCATAAGCCGAATAATCTGTTATCTTTACTAATCTGTTAATACATTTAGGATATGCAGTATATTAAGAGATAGAAAACACTGAGGGCGTTGTAAATTCAAATTCTCTTTAGAAAAAAAAGCTCTAAGTTTCACACCACTGCATCGTAAGGCCTCTTTTTCTCAATCATTCCTTCTCTCTTCCATTCCACTTCGGTTCCCTTCCATATAAATCCGTAAGTCTACATAAATTAGGGTTCAGTCATCACTGAGTTTTGCATTCTGGATAATTTTTTACTGGTGTCGATCTTGACGAATCTATTTCTACCGCATATCGATCTTTTCGCACTATTTGAGCGTTAACACAATTAATTGGCTTGGAGAGTAAATTATCATTATCATCCTCCCCAAATCGTCCTTTTTCTGCTACTGAAAAGAATTGGTCAAGTTTTTTAATAGAAAATATTCCAGCATTCCATCTAATTACATCATAGAAAAGAAAGAACACTACGGTTAAGAAAAGCCCAAAAAAGACAATTATCGCCTTCTTGGTAAGTTGTTGCATTCAAATATTAAACAGATCTCGAACTCACTTTTTCAAGCTTACAAACAATAAACTCTTTGTTCCTTACTTTCTTCCCTTTTTTTTGTCCTGGTTCATTATTTTCAAAGCAACAGTGCTGCGTAAAACCTTAAATGACTTACTATTTTCCTGTTTATTAGTTATCCGGCGTAATTCCAGTAATAGCCCGCTAATTTTTCGATCCTTTGAAGCAATCTCTCTTTTCATCTCGCGTGCCCTGCAATTCATGATTATTGTTGGTTATAAATACGTGTAGTAACTTACCGTGAATGAAATAAAACGTGTTACATTGCAATAGTAGAGGTACAATTCCAGAAAATTTTATCGTCGAGACCGAGGCTAGAGTTCATGCGGCAGTTACAACAGTAATAATTACATATATGAAGCGGTAGAGAAATTTCTCGAAAATTCTTTGGAAAAAGTTTGCAAAATTGGAAAATATGAACTTACTCTTTTTCCTTCTTTTGAATTTCGTTTTCTAAACGAAATATATTTTCCTTATTTTGTATATCTATGGCATTGGAAGCCATCATTGAATCCTTCATTTGTACAATCTCATTCCGAAGTGCGGCAACTACCGATAGCTGCAAACAATAGTCTCTATCCGTAAATTTGAAAATATTACAATTTCATACTTATCTATCCCCAGTCAATGATACTCTCAACTGTCTCTTTAGTTTAAATTTTAGTTTATTAGTTTTAGCCAAAACAATTCAACTGTTAACAAAAATAACTGTGAAGACATACATTTTCATCATTCATTTTCTGCGTTTCGTATATTTGCTCCCTTAATTCCGTTTCCTTACTATCGGCATCATCACATTGCTTCTCCAGCCAATCTATATCCCGGTTTCTGCTACGCAATTCCTCCTTCAGATCCTAAGATTTTAAAAGATTTCTATCCAAGAGGAAAAAAACCGAGAGAAATTTAAAATTGACTGTGATAGAAACTTCACAAGAGGAAAACGAAAAACAATTTTTTACCTCAATTTCTGCTTTCAGCTCACCAACTATAGCTTCCAAATCAATCACTTTCTTTCTACTGAAATAATAGTTGAATTTTGCAGCACCACTCATTTAAATATCGTTGATAAATTCTAAAGGAAATAGGAAAACATACAGCTTATTCAATGAAGTTGCCTGTATACTCTCAATGTCTTCTTTTTCCCCACAACTTGACGAATCATCCTCACTCATTTTTTGAGTGACTGCAAAGTTTTCTGTGGATAGCTTGTCATCTTCGACAGTACGGTTTAGCACAGGTGGCCGTTGATCCTCAAAGTCATCAGCCGTTTTGATGATTGTGGATTCAGTTCCGCTTACTTGATTAGTACCCTGATTTGATGCTTGAAAATCAGCTGCAATATCTGCTTCATCACCATCGAGCTGAATACAACTCAATGTATAGAATGATAAACTACAAATATGGATTTTTGAGTGTAAGGTATTCTATGGAATTGATGTAGATCAGAAAAATAAGAAAATTCAATAGGAAAAAATCTCGAAAGTTTACTCGCAAAGTCGTAAATGCAACCACTGATGCATCATAAAAAGTTGTATCTGGTTGCTCTGGCATTTCATTAACAGCACCAACTTTCGATTCCGCCGCAACAGGATTCTGTAATTTAAATTGACTACCTTTCTTGTGGTTTCCCAATGAACAATACAAATTATTACGATGGATTTACCTCATACAACTGAACGCTCGGACCCGAATTCCTATAAGGCAGAAGCGAATCTGCACCTGGACGAACCCAGTTACCACCCCACGTTTGTCTTCTAGCACGGCGATCATTGTGTTTCTGAAATTTGAATTTGAATTTTCAAGATGCCAAAAATTATAAATTCAAGGAAACTTGCCTGCTGATACTCGCACCCTATTCAACAATAACTTACTTGAGTAGATTGTGGAAGCATTCGACTTGAAAGAATACATTTTCTCAAACGTTCGACTTCCTTGCTTAATTCGATGTTTTTATTTATTAATTCAAGCTCTACAGTCTCGTTTTTCCGATTTTCCTGAAAAGCTATTGGAGAACCGTTCACGATATTACTGAAATAGTCTGTGAGGGAATAATCACTTAAGCTAGGCGAAACTTAAGACTAAACTCTAAATTAAACAAATCCGGCTTTCACTGTATCAGAAAAAGTAGCATTTAAAACCTCCAATTCGGCTTTTAAGCGTTCAATGGTCTGAATATATTGCGTTAGCATTCCTTCAGCATTCCAATTCTTCCGTGGTTTATTCTTTATCTTCTTTGCACGTACGGCAAACTATAATCCAAGTTTTTTTGAAAAACATTTCCGAAAAAGTTGCCTAAAATGGAGTTTTCGTTAACAGCTGAATTTAAACTAACCCTGAGCGTTTGTAAGGTTTGCATAACCTCGGTAGGTGAAGCAGTGCAGATTATTAACGTTCGCGCATTACCACCCAAGGAACTCTTCAATAAACGTGTTAACTTCGAGTCACGAAAATTGACATGACTATTCCTAAACTGATCATTATTGAAAAAAACACAAACCAAAAAATATTTACTCCCTTCAAAAAAGATACATATGAAAGTATGTTTTTTGATTTTTGCATTTGCACATCCACTCGCATAAAAAGGATTTATGACCCAATAAAAGGAAATAATCCTTTGCGATATTGTTTGCTGAAAAATACCATCCAACTTACCCTTTTTCACTCAATTGATTTATAACTTTTTGTAAGGCCAAGAGACTGGTGTTTATTTTACCACTTTCTTTTAAGCGATCACCGTCTCCTCCCGATTGCTTTGCACTTTCACTACCGGCTAAATCCACCACATTCTGAAATTTGCCACACCCAAAACATCTAATTTGCAAATTTTCAAAGTTTCGTTGTACTACCTGTCTATTTACATCAAACAAGCTAGAGCGAAACTTACCAAAAATGAAATATAAGAAGAGGAATCTGAAGCAACAGCATCGTCATAGCATTCGATTACAAAACGAAGAATGACATGTGATCGTGATGAACGTTCATTCAGAGCAGTTTCACCAATTACACGATTAGCTAAAATAATTAAAATCATCAGGATTCTGGAAAACAATAAATTTTGCTCCTTATCAAGCAAATATTATTGATCTTACTTAGAAATGCTTTAAACTTTATAATTATGATTTTTCAGCATAAAACAAAACCAAAAAAGATTAACAAAGAGTGAGATATCTCTGTGCTCCTGGTAACATGGACAAGCTCGAACTGCTCACCACAGAAGTTACCATTACCACTTTCGCTAATACACTTAATATTTCTGATCTATTTTTGGCATTTGAAAAAAAAAAAGACCAGAATTATACCAACAAAGAAAATAAGCAATGTTTATGACTAACCATACTGTAATTTTGCAAACAACTTCTAGTCTTTTTCTGATCCACTTTGCTTGGAAAAGTAAAAAAAATACCAAATGCTCGTTGGATCAACATTGCGACACCATCCTTGCAAACAATAACTTCTTCTCGTAGACCATCCACCACGGTTTTTTCTTTGAATTCTTTTATCGGTAAATCGGCGACTGAATCAGACAGCAAATCTCGCACTTTTTCGTTATAAATTTCAATACACGATATGCGCAACATATACCGTTTACCACTTCCCTGAATTGCAAAACTTTTGCTTCTGATTTCTCATTAAAAAACGCGGATATGTTTTAACTAGATATCTTTCCCTACATTTGAAAAAATCAAAAACAATACTTCATGGTGTAAGTGCTTTATTAAACTGGAAGATCTATGCAAGCCTTGATACGAATTTTTAGACTGTAACAATGCCTGGCGTTTAGTTCTCCAGCAACTCTGTTAAATGCTTTTTTGGAAGAAAGTAGCCTTATATTTCGCATCCTTTTGCCAAATACAAAACATTATATTTTGTTTCATTTATATTTCATCCACAACCCACTTCCAAAATCTTTGCAAAAATTGTGTCAAGCGCCATTTGAACAATTCCCTCTGCATTATCCGTACCAAACATTGTGTATGTTTTACCAGACGCAGTTTGTCCATACGCAAATAAAGTCCCGTTGTAACCGGCCATAGCTGATTCTACTACATCTTTTGCTGAATTAATATAGACATCCTGTGTTCGATCTACTTCGCGGTATACCTGATCTGGAAAGCATGATTTGAAAAGCAAAATTTTTTTTCCTGATCAGGTTTACTCATAAAAACATTTGAACTAATTTATTCTTGAACAAATTTTCCTCTGAAGATCAAGCCAACATCTACTCATTCTCAAGGAAGTTTACAAATCCGTTCAAGTAAGCGATATAATCCTACCCCATGCTAGCTAAATTTAATCCAATAGCGAGTTTACATCGCATGACCAGAAACTTTCCAATCACAAGAATTTTTTTAATTAATTTGTGAATTTCAAATTAACACGATTTACCGAAAGTGTAGCTTTTTTCGTCTCCATCAACAATTGTATTATCATCGATAACTTTCCAATATATTTCAGCTGCTGATTCCCTGTAAGATGAATGCAGGTGATGCTCTCGAAGTTGCTTTCAAGTAACACTGATAACTTTTTCCGTAAAATAAAGAAGAAAATCCTATTTTAAAAAGCTTTAAAATATTTCCGCAAAGGATTTCTTCTATCTTCAAAAAGTAACCCCTATCAAAAAAAGACTACTTATTCATTTAATTTTAACACAAGGACCCAAATTTGCAAGAATACTCAAACAAAAAGATTCTCAGCCACAATTGATCTGTTGAATGACAGTAAGAATCTGTAAATAAATGAATAATTGCGAAACCTTGCAAGAGGAGGTCGCATTCTGACGACCACTTTAATGCTATCTTCCACGACATCAGTTTCCATAATTATCCCTCTCTAAAAGTATAATTGATAGTGAGAATGACTGCTCCAAAAGCATTATCGATTGAAAAAAGACTTACAAAAACCCACGAAGTGCCTGTCAAAAGTAAATACTTGAAGATCGATGAAATCGCGAGAAAAACAATCAAAATTGGCTTTGAAGAAAGAATCAGATCTCAGAAATACTGACTGAATAGTGACCTATCCAAGTGCACAATTTCATAAAGTAAAAAAGTTTACCTTTGAGAATTCTCAAGCACCAGTATCTGAACCGAGCTTTACAAGGCAAAATGATTCAATAAGTCATCCTTCTTTAATTTAAATTAAATTATTCTGACAGTCTAACCATAAAAAAAGCTCTGTCCATCTAGTAGCTCTCTCTTCTTTAACCAGTTGTATCATGCTTAGACCGGTACATAAATGAAGAATTTGAAAGTGATGAAACAAAAGCTCTTAGATAATCCATTTACAATCCGGAAATATATCACTCAACAATTTCAATTAATCTTGGTAAATGCAACAGATCAGTGATGTTCCCGTAATTCCCGAAAAATCTTTTCCAATTACCCCAAAAAACCCTAAATATACTCTCTCAGATCATATTTCCAAATAATAAATGCAATGAGATTTGAATTGGTAAATTCCCGCACTTTGGACTGTTGCAGCCATAATGCCAGCCACTATTGCTCACCGTATTTTTGATTTTTACTACTAATATAATCTTCAATATTATTGCTGCTATAATTATTGCCTTCTTTACCAACCACTAGTTTCACCACAAAATTATTATCATTATCATTGTCGTTATCATTATCACCATCACAATGATTATAATTATCATTGTACTATCATTACAGTTATTATAATTATCACTACCATTATCATTATAGTTATCACTATAATTACCATCACCATTATCGTTGTCACTATCTTTATCACATTAATACTATTATTATTACTCGTTACTTACTTCTCACTACTTATTACTCACTACTCATTGCTAATTACTTATTACTCATTACTTATCTCTCATTGCTTATTACTTATTTATTCATTACTCATTGCTTATTACTTATTGCTTATTTATTGCTTGCTACTTTTTACTTGTTACTTATTGCTTGTTACTTGTTACTTATTACTTGTTATTTACTTATTACTTATTATTTATTATTCATTAATATTATTATTTACTAGTCATTATTTATTTGTTTATTATTATCATTTATTTACTATTATTACTACTTATTTCTTTATTACCATTATTATTTATTTATTATTATTATTTGTTTATTATCATCATTATTTATTTATTATTACTTATTATTATTATTTATCTACTACTATTATCGTTTATTTATTATATTATTATTGTTGTTATTATTATTTATTTATTATTATTATTATTATTATTATTATTATTATTATTATTATTATTATTATTATTATTATTATTATTATTATTATTATTATTATTATTATTATTATTATTATTATTATTATTATTATTATTATTATTATTATTATTATTATTATTATTATTATTATTGTCATTATTATTATTATTATTGTCATTATTATTATTATTTTTTGTTTTCATTGTATTTCATGTTAGCATTCAGATAATCATGACCTTCATCATTATTTATTATTTCTGATAGTAGCAGTAATAAGTAGCAATAAACTGTATAATATCATCTTATTTATAACAAATTAAAGAAGAGAGAGAAGAAAAAAGCACAAATGTATGAATTATTCATTTTCTTACCTAATTTATCATCAATTTCATTTATTGTCAATTTAATTAAATTCAGTTTTTTTTTGTTACATTTTTTATTTCAAATTAGTAGATTGAAAAACGAATGTTTTCGATAAACTTGGAGAAATATAAATTGAAATA